ATATACATTTTACGATGACTTTATTACGCGCCGAGTCGTAAATTCCCAGTAAACAACCTTAGGAATATTATTAAGTATATTTTATGCTTAATAAAAGAATACTTGCGAGACCAGAATAAATATGATAACGCGATACGCTTTTCAACAATATACATATAAATATCTGTTGCTTTTCAGTATCTTCGCGAGATTTTTGCGAGAGAGGCAATTTCCACCTTTAAACAGGTTTACAACGACGATCATCGGAGAAGCGGTGCCGCCGCCGTCGTACCGTTTGCCCCCGTGTCGCCCCCCGTCACCCTGATTAACCCTGCCAGAGCCGAGTATCGACATATCCGTTTCACTCTCGCGGAAAAGCCGATCCGTCGGCACCGGCGACGTTTCCCGTTAAACGGCCGTGCTAAATTTACGGATATCGGAAAATGTTGATTGTTAGTCGCTTCGCGGGCGTTCGTGTCCTTCGAGGCCTCGTTGCGATAATGGGAGGCAGATAAATATGCCGGCGACTAATTTTAGAAATGACGGGTCCCCGCAGATTCGTCCGCGAAACTTCACGACTGTAAACGCTCCGTCGTATACTTGAATTACGCCGTGTGTCGCCAAGAGAAAACGCCACGTGTCCGTCGTTGTGCATGCCGTCTCTCTCGCGGCGCACGTGCATGTCCGTATTTGGATACGCGCGTTATTAGCACACGTGTGTCGCGACGGAGGACGGAGGTAAAATAATTTTACGGACGAGTCTCTCTCTCTCTACGTCTTTCTCTCTTTGTCTCTGACTCTCCACGAGATCCGCGCCTAACGAGCAGGGCGAAGTCCTCGCTGCAATGACGTCGACGTGAAACGTTTACCCGGCGTTGACGTAAACGTTTAAACCCTGCCCTTCCTGAGGAGGAAAAGCGAAGTGGTATCGCGGCATCGATACACGTATATATCAACGATATTCGAAACGCGGGCGCGCGTGTGTATATTATACCGGAGAACCGATAATTACGTTTGCCCCCCGGCTATCAGTTTATTTACGGCGGCATTGTTTCGCGACAAGTCGCTCCCCGAGTATACCGTCGTAGACACTCTGAAACTACCGTGCAGGTTTGGACGGAAGCGCGATTCTCGATGCTCGGTACATACGGGAAAATATAGTGGATCCAGTGGATCGCGGCGCGTTTTCTCGGGAATAACTCCATTTCCATGAGCTTTAACGATAGATCCATTCTGAGAGAATAAATCCGCGAGCGAGATAAAGGGATAAAGCAAGAATTTGTCTTACAAACGAATTTTATACACGCATACCATCGGCGTTATTTTAAATCAAATTGTGATTACAATAATCGTTGTTCGCGTTGTTAAAATACACGGCTCAGTTTATATGAAATCAATTTTCTGGCGAGAACTTCAAAGAATATGTTTGTTGAAAATTATGGATAACGCCATTAATTCTGTTAACACTATCAATTTTACGATAATTTAAATGAATGTATAATTGTATTATAGGTATAGAGATAAAGGGACTTTTGTGAAGAGAGATTCGATTTCAAATTAATCGGATATGTTTGCGGACTCTTCCGCGCAGTATTCCAAGAATTGTTCATATCATACTGCGAATACGGTTTACGAGAATCCGAGTGTCGGTCAATTGATTTCTATGAAGCGCGCGGATATAGGATCCTCTCGTGGAATGCTGTGTTTCACGGAAAACGACATGTACATATCGAATCAAAGCCGTATAGTCGTGGCACGGGGATGGTAAATCGAATCAATCACGGGAGATACACGTGGTTATTTATAGCTACCGATCGAATATTCCGAAGACAAGCCCACTTGATGGACGGTCTTGAATGATGCATGCGGGGAAAAGAAATGGCTAGCGAGAGATTCCACTTTATTCGAGTTAATTATTCGACACTATACGAAACAACCGGCACTGCTTAGCGCGCGGAGAAACGGTTTTTTCCCCTGCCGTCGTCGCGTCGGTGAAATAAAAAAGTTAGAAATAAAAAAGAGACGGTGAATGTTTTTCGGGATCTCTCGAATCCACCAGGAAAGTTGTCTCCGCAAATATTTACCGCGAACGATATATATTTCCGTATATAAAAATTAAAAGAAATCCAATAAACGCTGTTCGGTGGTGTCTCGTAAAACGTTATTTTTTTCAGCGAAATGAAATTATTTCTTTCTTTCTGGAAAAAGAAGAGATCTCTGAAATATTACATGTTCTCTCTTTTATCGAGAATTTAGCGCAAACACACGCGGCGTATTTGTCGATCGCAAATCATCACCGCGTGTTTGACGAAAAAAAAGAGAAAGAAATTATTTTCCTCCATTTCGTCGAACGGTCGATGATCCGCCGCGTGCATATAATTTCGCTTTCGCACGTGCGGACATTTTCCCCGTGTCAGGGACGACTTCGACGCGTATTTTCCACCGAGAAATTGCGCAGTCCGACGCAACGATCTACTGCTGGCGATGATCGGCGTTGTTTGAAGTTGCCTGAACGAGCACGCGACAACAAACAGGTGCCCGAAAGCACCGACGTGGGACGTGGGCGCCTAAACAAAGCCTTTCACACGACCGCGGAAAGGCCAAGAGAGGAGAAAGAGAGAGAGAGAGAGAGAGGGAGAGCGAAAGTGCCCCCGGCGATCGATCATTCATAACGCGCTCTCACGCGCATTAACCCTATGGTTTCGTCCACCGAGTGGCGGGATTCGGGAACAAGCGGGTTCTGTGAATCGGAAAAGTGGATACTTAATAATAACGAAGCGAATTAACGTGACATCAATCGGGTATTCTGATGAAAATGGAGTTATATTGTTCCTATTTACGATTTATCCGAGTATGTTTTAGCGATTATGTAAGTAGTTTATTTTGCTTTTTTGTATTTGCATCATCGTTCTTGTAATTTTCTTTTATTTCGATAATTATTACAAATAGGAATGAATTGGATAATAAAATAATTTGATAGAGACGCGCGACCGCTGTTGTTTGCAAAAATATGCAACAGATAAGCTGAACCGAAATTCCGATGAAAATAAATATCAAGAAGAGACAAAATCGAATGAAAACTTTTGATTCTTATTCAAGATTTGAATATAGCGGGCTTCGTAGAATAATATGTGTGCCATCATGTTTTAAATAATATTTCGAATTTCACAGATATTCTGTGCGCGAAAAATTAAATATTGTAGCGAACGTACGTATATACATTGTGATGAAATTTATAATTAATACCCAACATTTTTCTGACTCGCCCTTTTATCACCAATGCTATATATTTTTCAAGCCTCTCAACTTTTTAATTTTTTTTCCGATGTATATCCGAGACAAGTTTTCCCGTGTACATTAACATTACGCGTGGAGTTTGATTCATCGAATTTGATATTATTGAAGCGCGACGAAATCTAAATTTACGGAAGGCTGGTTTGAATCGCTCGTAGTTTTAATCGGCTGCCCGCTGTCAGTTCGGCCGTGCAAAGGTGAATATGAGAGTCTCTGGCTCGCCTTGACGCTCCTTACAAATCGATCCAACTCTGGCAAAGGTATAGTGCCTTATATTGTGCGCCCGTGTGTACGCGCGCGCGCGTGTGTGTAGAGGCGAATGATAGCGTGCGACGCGGATGTCGTCGGCTCGCATTACATTTCATTTCCAGCATTAGGATCGTTCGCACTCGTTAAGACGAATTGTACGAGTGAGGGAGAGAGGCCCCCTCTCGATCACACGCGTCACGACGCGAATTCCTTTCAACGCGAATTCCTGAAAACGGAATGCACGAGTTAGAGATCTAAAAACGCGAAATTTTACGACGGGATATACTCGGCAAGGTTTGAAAATATTTTTACGTACATCTATAAACGATAATTTGTGCAGGACGTAAAGAGCGATCTCGCGTTTAAAAAGTGTCACATAAAAAGCAGCTATAGCGTCGTATCACCGAAGTTATCCTTTGAAAGAGCCTCTATCTGTGTCAAGGCTGATAGTATTGTAAATGTAAAAGGCTGTAGGTGGCATTTACGAGACATTTACGAGGGACGAGGTAAACATAAAGGCTATCTCTCCGTTGATCTTTTTAAGCAGGTAGAAAAATGTATATCTGTAAAAATGTTCATTTTTTTGGGAATCTATATTATTTCATCGCGAAATCCTCACGCCGTCGAACAGCGTGTTTCTCTTATTACGAATGTGAATTCGGATTACGAGCCGTTCGATTTATATCTCTGATGATGCTTTTAACTCGGCAACGAAGCGTAATTAACTTTATCTCAACCGGCTTTGTGGTGGCTTTGCCATCCGAAGAATCGGGCAACGATTCGCTGAATGCATTTCGGGCAAATGTATATTGCTCGCGTTTTGTTTCACAAACACGAGCGATTGTACGGATAAGGAAATTGCGACATTGGCTGTTATGTCACTATGTACGAAACATTTCCGTGGGAAATTTAATTTAAAGAAATTTATAACGGCAATTCCTACGATAATTATGTCGATATTTTCTTTGTAATGCCTTCTCTCAAGTCAGCAAGATTTTTATTTTCTCTCTACTCTATATTATAATATATATAAGTCAACTGTATAATTAAATGGAAATTAATTAATTTGTACAGTGTAGTAATTTTATTATGTCATTATTATTTATATCTATTTTTGCGAGAAATTCGATTGGAAGAAATTTATAAGCGACGACAATCCTACGATAATTATGTCGATATTTTTTCCATATAATGCCTTTTATAAAGTCAGTAAAACTTCGACTTTCTCTCTACTCTATTTATATTGTAATATAAATCAACTGTATAGTTAAATGGAAATTAATTTGTACAGTAATTTTATTATATCGTTATCATTTATACCTATTTTTGCGACAAACTCCGCGATGGAAACTTCAGCGAGAGATTCTGTGTAACTTCCTCGGAAACGCAATCTTCTCGTGAAATCTTCTTACTATTAGCATCTTATATATGTATTTACAAGTATTTACAAATGTTTCTGTAAGTCTCTCTTTTCGCAGGTGGCGTGGGGCACAGCCGTGATGGAATTGCAGAGCTGGTTGCTCTATCACTTAGTGGCCGTCACCGACTGCAATCAAGGTAGCGAGGAGATACGCCGGCCGTTCATCGTGTCTCGCGCACATCCATGAACCCACGAACATTTGTGTCACGCATGTGATCGTTTAACGGCTCGACCGTTTAACCCTTGGTTTATTTTAGTTACGTTTGCCTGAGTTTGCCGGACCCATTATTCACACACGCACACAGTTCGCCGCTTCTTTGTTTAATTTGCCGTCCCGCTATCACGATTCCGGAGGAAACGGTGGTCTACCGATGCCCGATGGTGGTGAGTTCATCGTACGAAGTCTGCGAAACAGAAACGTGCGTGTATATCTACGCACACCGAGACTTATCGTCGTGATGAGGCCTCGTCGAGAGACGCACAGCCGCTTTCGCGCCGTTCTCAGGAGAGTCAGGAGGCTCTGAAATTGTAACGTTCCGTCTCCCTAAGTTGTTAGACTTTCTACTTTTGTGCCACATTCGAACGTGCAATTCTTTTGTTCCCGCGATTATGATGAGTTGTTAAACCGTTTAAGGAAGCAACTCGTATTTTTTTTTTTTATTACGTATTTAGCGCTGACGAAACGTTACAGCTCACTTATATTAAGCGCAATCTTGTACATTACGTAACGCACGACATGTTATACAACACATTCTAAAATATTAAATTTATGTTGGAGAAATGCAAAATGTGTAAAATTGATATTAAATTGATATAAATCGGGCTATAAATACCGATTATTTACATTTCCAATATTAGACGTGACGCTAAATAAAGATACGATTACAAGGAAAACTTGTTACCTGCGATATTTACGACTCGAGGGACTTTTATCGAACGTGAGTTTCGCCTCGAATAAAGCTCGTGGTCGCACGACTCACATTTACCGCGAAATAAAAGCGAGAACGCGGGCGTACGTGCACAATGCACACGAGCGGCGGTCGTTCACTGTGCGAAAATATATTGCAGTGATGCAGTCGGCAAACACAATCGGAAGTGGCGGCGGCGGGGGCGGAGGCGGTGGATCGTATAATGCCGGTGGCGGGAACGTAAGTCGCACTCGGGATTTAGGATTGCGCGCCCAGAAGAAGCTTCTCGGACGCATAGTGTCCACCAATGCAGGCCGGTCGCTCTTCATCGACGACGCCACGACGTCGTTGCTCGATAATCTGTACAAATTGATGGAGAGCGTCGCCAAGAGCAATCCGCACTTGGACAAGAAGGAGCCCGAGAAGGTCCTTAAGAACATCATCAAATTGTCCATCAAGGTATACATGAAGTATTCCAGAATGCAGACATTAATTTCGACGATAGATTCTGCAATGAGTTTCAAGCCGATTAAAGAACCGATTAAAGAAGAACGTCAAAAGAAGCTGTTATTTGCTTGGGCAAACTTGAATATTCTAAACTTAGTGATATCACGAATTAAAATTATAAAAAAAGCAGCTTGAATTCAAAATAATTGAGATAATATTCAATAAGCTGTTCAAAATTGTGTCTTCAATAATTAATACTCGCATCATTTGATTGATATATGAATAAATATATTTAGTTTTTAATGAAGATATATTTTGAAAATTTTACCTCTTTTACTTTGAAATTACCTCGTTCGTATGTAATAATAAGACCGGAATAATAATATTATCATTAAATGTTCTATAATAATCGGCTATTTATGGCTGCGGTCCACTCGACGCTAAAAATGCTTCCAAGTATTTCTCTTCTCCTTTCTTTTAATGAAGAAAGAAGGAGAAGAAGGACGCTTCAAAGCATTTGTAGCGTCAAGTGGACCGCAGCCATAAATAGCCGATTATTATAGAACATTTCATGATAATATTATTATTCTGGACCGCAGCCTATATCGATATACATATATTACAATATAAATTAAGCGTATAATTAATAATATTGTATTAATTCATACGGTTGATATATACATTGAGTTGAAATTGGACGCATAAATTAACTTATAAAACGCGATTCGTAGATCGGACTCGTGCAGCGCAGTCATCAATTTCGTCCGAACGACGCCGAGAAGCTGGAGGAGATCCGGGAGGCTCTGGGGACAGTGGCGATGACTGTCGTGTCGTTCTACGAGGTGGATTACAGTTACGACCAGGAGTACCTGACGGGCTCGATGGAACGTTGCCGAACGTTGCTGCAGCAGCTGATAAAGCCGCACCTCACGGACAAGTCGTCGCAGCGTTGCGACCAGGTGTTCGACTTCCTGGCGTACCCCAAATTCTTGGACTCGGTGTTCCGATATAACTCCGAGCACAGACCCATCCTCGGCATGCTAGTCAGTGACCTCAACAAGGCGTTGGACGCCAGGCGGCTTTGATTCTACAAAAATGATATTCGCGTAACGTTAATAAGAAGGAATCGACGGCCGATTACGCGGTCTGATCGCCGGCAAAATTACCGTCCCCTTCGGCAACGGCGGTCTCGCGATCGCGATCGATGACGGGTCAATCGAACGTAGCGAATGACCCGCTGGACACGCGCGCGCTTCGTTGCACTTTATTTCACGGCGAGTAGACAACGTGCTGCATACTTTCAGTGTGACGACAGTATAGTTTCTTGTAGCAGTAGATTGAAAAAACGTTTCTTGCTCGCCCCTATCCAGTAGCTGGGTCGAGATATCCGGTGCGGACCACTCGCTCACTGATTTATGCAATAATTGTCTAATACTCCGCTTATTTTAAGGGCGCAGCCTCACCTGTATTGCGCAATTGGTGTATTATATATTTATATGCAGGATACCGATTATTATACCAAAAAAAGGAGTATAACGAGCTTATTATATATGGGAGACGACAGAAAATGAAATGTTAATCCTGAAGCCATTTTTCGTACACAGTTCTAAACTGCATATTGAAGTCTAACTCGACTTAATACTTAACTTTTGTTTATCTTCATTGATTTACACACAAGCGGAAAATTATTCCAATTTCTTTCATTTGGATATAAAAGTTTATTTTTTATTCTATTTTAATTTATCATATAAAATTTTCAATTTAGATTTAATTTTTATTGTGTATGATGAATTCTATTCGCACAATGTGAAGCTATGTAATTACAGTATACAATACACTGAGATAATTAAAATTAGCGATTTTTAAAATGTTTCAAAGCCAGAGATCAAAGCCGGAGTTAGACTTTAATTTGCGAATATAAAGAATTCTCAAGCGAAATTATAAAATCCTGTTGCAAAAACAGGTTTGTGTTTACCATGCGTCGCGATAAGTGCAAAAAGTAAGGGGAAAACATTTTCGAAAATTGCTAAGGTACATACGCCGACCAATAGCCCGACTAAATATCTATGTAAACATGTAAAGCAGATGGTCTTTCCCATTTTAAACCGTGTGACTAGTACTGTCGCGTGCAATAATAGTAGATTGCGCGAACGAGGAATTTCCTTCGTCTCTCATGTCGAGCTGAAAGTCACGCGACACACCCTTGTGCTCTATACAATTTCTCATTTCTGCGGTTTTCTCTTTAGATACATTACTGCTGGGACAGTCGGTTTTGAACCTTAAAAAACAGCATTATATTTAATTATTTAATATATATTTTTAAAAAGTTAAAATTTCATAATGTTAAGAAAAATGCGCTAGATATATTCGCGAATATTTTAGCGGATATTTTAGATTTACGGATAAGTTAGATTTTATTGCGCCACGATACGTTACGATTTCTCTTCGGTTTCGCAAAGTGTGAATCTCCTCAAGAAGGATAAGAGTAAATGTTGGTCATCTTCTCGTGTACGCGCAGTGAGACGCACGCGTTGCGAAAGTTTCGGGACTTGTGCGTCGCAACGGACACAATCCACTATTAGCGCTATTGCTTATATACGTACACTTTTTTACAACACACTCGACAGAAAAGAAACAATTTCTACATATCTGATTTCATCGCGATTTGATCCCAATGATCATTAGCATAGGACATCATAGAAGAAAAAAAAAGAAAAGGGACATTTATTAAACATTTCGCGCCTTTTGTACGCGGTGTACACCCACTTTACACGTTATTTGTGATGATTGTCAATATTAAGAGATGTATTGGTACTATGCCATTAATAAATTATTAACAAACATCAGTCTCGTGTCTTTTTTTTTTGTTATTCGCTCGTCGCATTCTGCATCCTGCGAAAAAGAAGGCAAACGACGTATCAGTCTCAAGAGCTTGGTATATTTATTTACATTAGATATACGAAGTCGCACATATATAAAGTCATAATGATATAGTTCATCCGTCGTTCTTCTCATTCAATTGCAGTGCGCGTGCAAAGGTATCGTCGTCATGGAAAATTATCAAAAATCACCGTTTCAAACCCTGCCACTGTGACTGGTTTTACGTTCACGCTGTTTACCATAGTAGAGCTTTTTAACATGGGGAGGACAACGCGACAAACTGAAACGTTCGGATCGCACTGCCGTCGACACATTTTAACAGGTGTACGCATTTTCACGTATAAAATTATCAATTTGTCATTCGTATGATATTCATTTGTTACAAATTAAGAGTGCGCTGGGAGTGGCAGCAGTTTGAATGCGAATTTTTCTACCTGTTCGTCTTATATATTTCCAAACAATCTGGGCGCGAAACGATGCCAAGTAAGTCGGTCTCGAGAAGCTACCCGTTAACTATTGCTCGTTTATAAAAATAGGCTATCAGAGATGCTGTATGAATGGTCACGGTTAACGTATTGAATTTAAACGCATGTCGGAGAGAGAGAGTGTATGACATAAATTTTTACATAGAGCATTTCAGTCCGCATAAAGTAGATGGGCGTTAAAATATTGGTTTTAAATACCCCACAAAAGTGTCGTACACGTTATGAACGCATAGTGTGGTACGCTATAGAGTTCTCTGCGGTTACATGCTAAAAACGATGACGGATCCTCCTCTTTACTTTTTCCTTTTTGGCGAAACGAATGCCCGTGCGGCCTCCCGTCCCTCAATGAATCCTATGTATACCATGTAATGTATGTATGTATGTATGTATATATCTGTTTGTTTACATAGAAAGATGAAACGTGTATCGGTGAAACTACAGAGCTATCGGATACAATGCACACATTTATCTATCTTACCGTAATATTGTGAGACCCCATAATTATGTATAACATTTTGCAATCTCTCTCTCTCTTTCTCTCTCTCGCTCACTCACTCACTCTCACTTTCATAAATATGCAGCTCGGGAATATATTTTGTTAAAATACATGCTCGCGTTACGTACTACGATGATTTAATGACGTTTCATTGTCACCGATCTCTCCTCGCTTCGTAAAATGTGCTACCCTATTACTAGAATACGTCGAGACGCGAATTTGTGGCACTTGCGACGACTCGTCACGCGATGACGTCCGTGATGCGTTCAATAAGGTGAATTTCTTATATCGCTTAAGTACGCCGCGTTACACAGCATATTTGTATGCTAAAACCGAGCGGGGCTTACTTCCTGAATCGTGTTTGAGCGTGTTCGACTGAAATCGTCGAACTCTAACGTTACCGTTGTAAGATGATACTTGATGAAAATGACGATGGGAATACAGCGTATGCGCGTATAATAGAAACAAATGCTATCTCAATTGCACACAACAAACGCGGCATTTCGTATAATCACAGGTCGACGTTTTTTTTTGTTACTAAATGCACGCGCTTAATTCCATAATACTCTCCAAACGGGTGTCAAACGTCGCGACGAAAGCAAACGGCAACGCTTGGCAACGAGCTTGGTCAAACTTGAACAGTCGGATTATACTCGCGTTAAACTCAATAGTTAAACTTCAAACGCCGGCAGAAAGATACAACTAATTCGAAGCTAAGCAATAGACACGAATAAATATAAAAAATTTATTTCTACACAGGTGAACATATTCCTAGATTATTGTGCTATTGATGTATTTAGAATTTCCTTGTTTAATTTACTATTACTAAATAACGCTCTTTGTCGAAATTTTTTTTATTACGATTAACGTAGTTAATCGTAATAAAAAAAAAAACTGATACCAACCAGGATTCCCTTGCGATATCATTTGTGGAATTGTATACAAAATTGTGGTATTGTTATACGCTTAAATAAGTATATGTTAAACAAAATTCATTGCGTGTTGCTGTTTTGAGGCCGGTGTTTCAACTTCAACTCGATAAGTTTGGTGAAACTTAATATTCATTATTATAATGTTCGTTGACAATCTTTTTTTCTGCCATTTGTATCATATTACATACATATATCATGTTCTTTAAATTAAAGTGAGGACAAACAAATTCTTTCGCAGAAAATTTTTGTGATTTGCAATTTCATCCAATTGTGTTTTACTTAACATTCTGAAAGTTGTAACATTGCATATACAATATTATATTGTATTTGCACGCAGAAATTACGAATCACATTTTCGCTTCTCTAATAACATAAAATTTCATATACATCATGTAATATACTTATCTTATCGGATTCAAATTAAAAAAAAAAATATTCGACAAGAAATATTTATAGGTAGCTTAAATAGATAAAAATTATCCTGAAATATTACCATAGAAATTTTCCATAACATTTCGATAATTTGGAAAACATAGGGTAATGTATTGAAGTTTGTAGTAGTGGTATTTTCCTCTGTTTAATCTGTATTAAAATAGAAACTGGAATATTAAATACGCATTTTTTAAATAAAATTATTATTTTTATAATTTAAGAATAAATCAAAACAAATTAAATTTATTACACTCTTACTAAGGATCTTTTTTGGTATCATTTATTAAAATGTTCAATTACGTCATAATCGCTCCATCAATCGAATTGAAAATATCAACTTATGGAACGCGAAAACAACTTTGTTTCATCGTGTAATATTTAAACATAGGCTGAGTTTCTAAATTCATTGCCAGCGCTGGATATCTATAGTACACGTAACGTATACATATACTATAGATTTTCAGCGCTGGCAATGAATTTAGAAACTTTGCCATAACATTGGTATTATTCTTAAATTATTTTTTCATAATAAAATAGCGATCAACCTTGATTATTAATGATCTGATATTTTTACTTATAACTAAATTTACTTTATAAAAAAAATTAATTTATTATGATGTAAAAATATCCGATTTTTTTAATTTTAAATTAGCGAAACAAAAAATAATTTTTTAATTTACTTATTTAAATTAACTGAATTATTTCACATCGAACTTTGATCTACTAACTGAATTATCACATATTATAAGGTATAATGCTATTTATGTATCCTTTCAATAAAACGTTTTCTTTTTCTAGACGTATAATTACAAAAAGTGGACTAATTTTTTATATTACTTTATTTTTTTGAATCACGATTTAATATAATCGTGAAAATATTTCAGAAAAAAATTTTTTCTACTCTCCCAAATTTCCCGTACAGTGTAGAATTAATTATCTTGTGGAAAGAAAAGAATCAACAAATTGAATAATTCAAAAAGTAAACATTTTTTGACAAGTTTATCGTCTTTTCGAGACTTCGAAGGTTAGAAGGATAGAACATTAAATTAATAAGAAAGAGTGATGACAAAAAGACATGTTTTTTCGCCCATTTTTTAGGAACCTCGAATTTAAAACTTTTTTTTATTCCAAAAGTACCTACTATTAGATGAAACATTAATCCCAGTAAAATTTCAAGATGAGCATAGGCACGTAGGCACGGTTCCGGAGATACAAGGGGACGAAAATACGGAATATCGAAAATTCGTATAAGGGTAACGTATAAGGGTTGTCATTTTTAGAGATATTTTAAATCCGCAAGCGGGTGCTGTTTTGGAATCGTTTGTACTCGATTCTGAAACAGCACCCGCTTGTGGATTTAAAATATCTCTAAAAATGACAAAGTTACCCTTATATGAATTTTCGATATCCCATATTTTCATCCCTTTGTATCTCCGGAACCGTGCCTATGCTCATCTTGAAATTTTACTGGGATTAATGTTATATCTAATAGTACTATTTTCCATAAAAAAAAGTTTGAAATTCGAGGTCCCAAAAATGGGCGAAATTTGCCCTCACTCTTTCAAACATACGTCTGTAAATAATCAAGCCTTTCATGACATATACAACTTATATCCTAATTGTTTAATTTAGCAATTATCATACTTGTGGTTTCGTTCGCATAAACCTTCATTGCCATAATCCTGCATAGTTGCCGTATAGATTTGCGGGTAATGGACCACCTGCTGTAAATAGCCGAGTACCCGATGCGTCATAGCAATGTGTGTAAATGGCGGGAGTGTATTTCACATTTTGGAAACCATCTATGTATTCCTCATCTGGAAACTGGTATATCCCACGGAATAAATATATAAATTGTTATATAATAATACATAAAATGAGTTAAATGGGGCGTCCACAGAATGCACAAATTACAGATTGGAACATAAAAAAAAACCATGTGCGAGTGACTGCTATTGTCTACTACTATTTTCCTATAATATGTAATTTTGTGAACACCTCATGTATAATAATTCACAAAAACGTTTAATCTAATTGTAAAACTAGTTCAAGTCTAAAAAAATGTGGTGACTAATAAAACAATCTCGCAGTATACTCTTGCTGCTGTAGATTGCAAGTCATCTAATTACTTGTCAATTTGAATAATGTGAATCATTGCTTTTAAACGATGCAAGACTTACCACGTATCCTTTCGAAGCTTTTAATACAACAGTCCTATTAGAATTTATAGAAGATTCCAGATATTTCTGAGCTTTAACATCGTAGAACATGAGCATTCCTAGACCAGTTCCGATGGTTAAAACGGATCCTTGAAAACTCGCTGATCTAATGCCACAACCGCTATATCTGTATCCAAAAATTTGTTGTTATTAAATTATTCTAGCATACATTACGATAAAAAAGATAAAAATTTCATTTACCTAGATGGTATTTTTTTAATTGGTTGTAATGTACGCGCGTCCAACAGAAGAGTGTAAGATCTGCATCCGATCGCGTATACTCCATCGTCCTGTACAGCAAGACAAACGTTTTCCTGACAGGCTGGCAGTTTTCTAGATATTTTCTGTCTGAAGGTTTCGGCCGACCAGATATGTATAAAGCTATTGAGGGTCAACGCTGCAATCTCCTTGTACGCTTTATTGAATGCTAGCGCTCGCACTTTCTGTGCGGACTTACATTCCTTCACACAGACAGGTTGAATCAACCTAAACAGAAATGACAATTATTAGAAATTATTTCTTAAAAATTAACGGCATTAATAATGGTAAGTACTACAAACATTAAAAATATTAAAGATATTAAAAATATTAAAAATAAAGATAAAAATAATATTAATAGCAATAAATATATCTGTTTCCGAATTTCTAATACCTCACTGCAGAACCATTAGATAAAAAAGATTAATATATTATAATAAGTATTATAAAAGGAAAATCATCTTAATTTTTCGCTTTTAATTTAGCAGAAAAGGCTAAAGTTTTAATTGTGTATTTGATTCTACCTATGTGTAGGCACATCTGCTTTATCAGGAGCTTCCGCAAGATCGCTGTCAATACGCCATAGAGCCATTTTCGTATCTCTCGAGCCCGAGACTAAAAACTCATCGTCCAGCCAGCACATGTCGAACACCCAGTCCTTGTGGCCGTTCTCGCCGACGCAAACTGGATCCAAAGTCGGCAATCTGTATATCGCTATTTCATTACTATTTCTCGCCCCGGTGGATAAAAGAGTTCTATATAAGACAAAGATATAGATTAATCTATGTGGGTTCGAGAAATTATTTTTTTCTCTCCGGATATATCAAAAAGAAAAATGAAGTCACCTCGAGGGATTGATTTGAACGGAATGAATGCCACATTGCTGCTCGGGCATAACGTTACCACCCGGACTGAGCTGTCTTCCATGAAGAGATGGAATCTGGTCTAGTTTTTGCGTCGCTACGTCGTAAACCATAAGCTTATTGCACTTTGTACCGAATACCACTTGTCTATCACTCAACCACTGAGAACAGAATACTTTGTTCATGTTGTTCAAGCTGACCGAGTATTCCTTGAACAGATCGTGGGTCAGTATGTGACGGGAACCGTATTCCTGATTGATATTCCGCACTTCGCGCGTGTTCGTCTCGCGTGCGCGCACGTAATCCACGAAGTTGAAGGACGTTCTCAGGAACTGCTTGCCCTCGGTCACCGTCTCGGCCTCATCGTCGCTCGACTCGTAACACACGAAGTCGTCCGGTTTGTCCGGCTTCCTGTTTCTCTCGTGTCGCAATGCCAATCTGGAAAGATCGGACAAATTCAGTGATGCATATATACGGCATAATGTCGAAATTGGATGTTGCGTTTAATAAATCGTTACCTCTTAGCTCGGCGCTCTTCCAGTCTACTATTATTAGCGCATGGAGGATGCCTTCCATACACAGTCATCCTTTGTGTCTCAGCCATTATTATAATTAAAAGGACTTTGACGGACTTTACAATATTTCAGGCAACTTGCAAGGAACACTGAGTATTATTGTTGAACAGGATAGTCTTATTAGCAAAAGTAAGAATATCAGTAGTGATAATTTGTGTCAAATAAAGAGAAAAGAATCGTATATTAGCAACACGCAACTCGAAGAATACTTTTTTACTACGTACAAGCAGTCTCTTGCAAGGTATTAGCTAATCTCTCCTTTTCAAGCTTCTATTTGTTTTACCTAAGTGTCTTATTCATAAAATTTTGGCAGACCGCAATGTGAGACCAATCGATAAATTCGCTTTCAAATTGCGATATGTTCCTAAAATACTTCGAGAGATTTCGAGAAGAGCGAGGAGCCCTGCTTCTCTTCTGTGAGAAAGGTGGAGTAACTAACAGCGATGAAATAAGGAGGCACGATAGACAAGTCTAGATGCGCTTATCAACTGCTTCTGACAAGAATCAATCTTTCTTAATTTTGATTTTGGATGTATATTTTAACTATTATATTTGTAAAGAGAACTATATCGTGTGTATATATATTGTAAAGATAATATTTAATATTTATATCATATCAATGAAACTCCTTTGTAGCCAATAAGAATGGATCTATCTTACTTCCACGCAATCACTTCTAGGATATAAACAGAAATCCGTTAACAAAACCTTCTTGTTCTACAAATCAATCTCTCTCTAACTAGTTATCAGACAGTTATTCCTGTTACTCCTGTTTCCTGCAAGCTTATAGAAGTCTTTGGAAGCGATCGATTGGATTATCTTCTTGTGTAATAAATAAAATATAAATTCTCCAATCAACGTCACGGTGTTACGACAAGTATAACAAATGTAGGTTTGTTTATAAATAGGCTGACGCAAGAGATAACTCATCCAATATCTTCAATAAGCAGCTTGCGATCTAAAATAACGAAGAATTCGGTCAGTATACATTTCTTTTAAATGCTCACGCTTAGCGTATGGCAATATTATTTATTGTATCTGTTATATAAGAGCGATCTTCTCTTTTTAAAAGCTGTAATTTTAAAACTAACGACAAATTGAACAGTTTCAACGAAGAATCGGCAACGTTTAGATTTTAGAAGAAAAATTAGCCAACTCTGCAAAATAAAAATTAGCATTTCTGCATAATGTAAATTATGTAATTACGCGATCAACGTAATTTAAATTCCTAAAGCGATCAAATAAACATACAATAGCAAACCAGATATAATTCAATGACGTTAGTGACGTTAGAACAAAGAAACTTTAAAGTAAAGAAAGTTTATCTTTGTAGACTTTCTTCTTATCTCTGTATACATTTTAAATGCCTGCGTGAGTGCTTGTTTTGACTAGATAATCTCCGCGAGCCCCCCCGAAAATTTCTACTCGTTCCCGGCTGAGATCTAAACGGGACGCGAGCTTCTTTCCTTTTCGCTTCTTCCCCGTTGCTCACCGTTCCAACAATATCAGTCTCCCCTGTACACGAGGACAATGGGAATGTCGCGAGGCGGCGATTCACGACGGTCGGGCCGCGGCAGGCATCCTCGGCCTCCACTTCCTGCCCGTGGTCGTGCGCGCGGTGCGGACAACTCTCTCTTTCTCTCTCTCTGGTATCGGGACGCGATCACTCGACAAAGGACGGTCAACTGCTGTCCGTCGTCGGGGACGGGGACCGATGCCCGATTTCCTCACGGCGCGGTGCGCGACGTGACGACGACGACGTCGACGACGCGTGTGTGCGTAACCTCGCACGCCCTGCTGCTGCTGCTGCCCGTGCACTCTTCTCACGGGTCAACCTAGTGAGCGCGCGATCTCGGCTGACGTGCGGCTGAAGCTGAAGCTGCGTGGGGAGACGATGCGCGGCCGGGAACGATCCACCGTGGTCATGACGCGCGGAGAAACGCACGACGGGGTGACTGCACGAACGGCACCGCCATGTTGTAGGCGACGCTTCAGCCAGCTTCAGCGCCTCGACAAGAGGCCGCAGGAACGCCGAACGCACCGAGATGTCCGAGATCGACCGCGATCCCGCGCCAGCGTGTCGCCGGGACGGTGGGGGGAACGC